CACACACACACACACACACACACACACACACACACACACACACATGTAGTACCAGAAGCCACTTTTGGATTTTCAATAGCATGTCAAGACCATGCTCCTAAAAACAGAAAAGCCAAGTTTTTTTAAAAAAACAAGTCATATGCTATTCTAAAAGTTTTGCTCAAATGAAGCTTAATATTCATCTATATAGGAATAGGTTATATATTGCTTTGCTTTGGCCACTGGGTGGAAGTGGCTTGCTAAAGCCTTTCACTTGATTTTTTTTAAAAACTTTTTTTACAGTCCTTGAAATTCCTGCTGATCTCCTGTCCAACTACTAATCTAATCTATTAACCTTCCTTAGATTTTCAAGATCAACCTGTTAAACTGTTACATCTTAAATAAACCATTTTCCTCCTAATCTCACATTTAAAATTAAGTTTGGTGGCAGTCATAGAGGCCCTACAGGCTGAGCTCATGTTTTGATCAGAGAGGTTTAGTTTGTGCTTATTCCTATGAAAAAGATAAAATACTTAATCAGCAAACCCACTACTGTTGGTCGGCAATCAACTCCTCCTTAAGGAACGATTCTGTGATGCTTTTAGCCATTAACCCATTTGTTTAAAGAGCAAGAAACAGCAAAGAGATGAAGCCAAAAATGATAACCATACCTGGATTTTAAGTATGTTCACTGCAGAAACTTTCCCCTTGCCACCTGCCTGGACAGACTCTTCAATGAGAAAGGGCTCCGTTATTTCCAAAACCTCTGTCACAATGTACAAATGGAGTTTAGGGTAGATTTGCTGAACAACGCTGGGAGAGAAATCTCTCTTCCTAGAAACAAAATGCAAGAAGGTTACAGCTGCAGTTCTTACAATGAAGTTAGATTTCTGGAACTTCTCATGATATTCCTGAAAACTATTCTATACTGGGGAAAACCCAAGGCTTCAAAAGAAATCCTTCCACCTAGGCTAGAACTGGCCTCAAGCATTTTACTATTTGCAGTAATGGGTGTAGTAGATTAGATTAGATTAGATTAGATTAGATTAACAGAGTTGGAAGGGACCTTGTAGGTCATCTAGTTCAACCCCCTGCCCAAGCAGGACATCCTACACCATTTCTGACAAATGGCAGTCCAATCTCTTCTTGAAAGTCTCAAGTGATGACACTCCCACAACTTCCGAGGGCAAGCTGTTCCATAGGTTGATTGTTCTCACTGTCAGAAAATTTCTCCTTATTTCCAAGTTAAATCTCTCCTTGTTCAGTTTCCATCCATTATTTCTTGCCTGGCCTACAGGTGCTTTAGAAAATAGCTTGACCCCTTCCTCTCTGTGGCAGCCCCTCAAATATTGGAAGACTACTATGATGTCTCTCCTGGTCCTTCTCTTCACTAGACTAGCCAAGCCCAGTTCCTGTAACCGTTCTTCATATGTTTTAGTCTCTAATCCCCTAATCATCCTGGTTGCTCTTCTCTGCAGTTTTTCTAGAGCCTCAACATCTTTTTTATAGTCTGGTGACCAAAACTGGATGCAGTACTCTAGGTGTGGTCTTACTAAGGCTTTGTAGAGTGGTATTAGTACCTCACTTGATCTTGATTGTATCCCTCTGTTAATGCAATTTAGGACTGCATTGGGTTTTTTGGCTGCCACTGCACACTGCCGGTTCATATTTAGTTGTCCACTAAGACTCCAAGATCCCTCTCACAGTTACTGCTATTAAGCCTGGTTTTGCCCAATTCTTTCTACAATGAACCACCCCATTTTAGATGATTCCCTAAAAGAAACAAGCTGGAGTTGAAGGCCAGCTCCATGTTTAACCCTGTCCTCTATTCCTTCCATTTCCCAATTCCTTTATCTAAGAGGAATGGCATTACTGGACAGCAGAAACAGTTTTCAGCAGATTGAGATCAGTACAGAAATGCTTGAACTGCCAGAAAGAAGGTGACTCGGAAGGGTGAGAGGTGAGAACCCTCTGCCTTAAGCAGAGAGAAAATTTAAAAAGGGACACAGCAGGGCTCTAAATTAAGATCAAAGCACAATTTCTCTGCCATTCCCTTCCCTAAGTAGAAAGACTTTTAAAGACTTATTGCTCTACATAACAGAATCCTTTCTCCCCCACCAGGGGTGGGATTCCAATTTTTAACAATAAGTTCGTGGGCGTGGCTTAGGTGGTGGGCATGGCTTGGTGGTCATGTGACTGGATGGACATGGCTTGGTGGTCATGTTATTGGCTGGGTGTGGCCAACTCAATATCACTCACATCGAGTCACGCATCTCCTCACCTGGCCTCTCATGACTGTGGGGATGCTGCAACAGTCCTAAGTGTGAAAAATGGTCATAAGTCACTTTTTTCAGTGCCATTGTAACTTTGAATGGTCACTCCACACAAGCAAAGTACCAGCAAAGGAGGGGGGAAAACTCCGGAGACATTCCAGAGACAGAAAGTCTAGTCCTGCCAAGAATGTAATAAGGGTTAAAGGAGAAGCAGTTTCTGTAAGCAACACCAGAATGTTTCCTTCCTGCCTTCCTTACAGGATTAGCCAGTAATTTTTTCTAACAACCAGTTCTCTGAACTGCTTAGAATGTTAACAACCAGTTCTAGAGGATAGGTGCGAACTGGTAGAATCCCACCCCTGCACCCACCCCCTGCACCCTATTTTCAACAAGCTGCATTATTAAGTCCTGGAAGCTAGGACCTTAAATCTGAGAGAATTGTCAAAACTTCCCATTTTCTTTTCTGAATCTTCCCATCACCTGCGTCCACAGAGATACTGTGGGAAATAGCCTTGACTGATCTTCACTGAGTTTCTTCTATATACAATGGGGGCTTTGATGTGTTTTTTAGACAGGCTATTCAAATGAAAATCCAGATGATGAAGCCCTCCCACAAGTTAGCATGAACGTTATACACCAGTACTTTCACCTGAATGAGCCTCAAGAGATTTAAGAGAGTTCTGCCAGAGCACCACTCATTTCACTGCAATCCATACAGTCTTCAAATGCATTGCAGCAGACGGGTCAAAGCCATTTATTTATCCCTTTCTTCAGCTTTTAATAATACCTAAATTCAGTTGCCCCTTTGTGCTTCATGGTTGGATTATGAATGTTTTTGAGACATTTTTTTTCATGTACAATTCTCAGGAAAGCTACCTAGTCAGTAATTAGCTCCTATTATTCCATTCTTGTCACATCCTTGGGTAATAATAAGCAAAGCCATATTCACCACAACTCTCCTGAGTCCACATAGGTTTTTTGGAGATGTACTGGAGAGGCATTCAAGCAAGCTAAGGCCAATCCACCAACATCTACTTCTGTAGACCGCATCTTAAAGTTCAGCTGTCCTCCAGATTTGTGGCATGTATTAGCAGAAAACAAAAGTGGCTCAGAATGTTTCAGCTCTAAAAAAAATGAAAGCAAGCAAAATACAATGCTCAAAATGCAGTCTAATTGTTTTAACATGGTGAAACCCACTGGAGCAAAGCTAATACATTTTTCCTCTTTTTTGTATGCTCGGATTCCTTCCAAATAAGAAATAACCCCAATTCACTGAATTCATATATATAAACTGATTTTAGTTCATGCAAATTGCACTGAATCTTGCCACTGTGATTTGTAAATCCAGATTTATGTTTTAGCACAATATTTTCATGTAGGATTAAATCTGAATCAGGGAAATTACTGCAAAGGATTTGTCTTCACATCAAAAGAGGAATCTACACAGACTATACAAAATCTGTGAGCCTGATGCACAATTTGGGTGTGAGAGACCTTTATGTTTCTCCTTTGGCCCTAGGGCTCCCAGAAAACTGTCCAGGCAGAGTTTATCCAGAATGATCTCTATGAATTAACTTGAACAAGAAATACCTATTTCCGTTATTGCTTCTTCTTGGAGTATGTCTGTCAGTTTGAAAGAGACTGGGGAATATTTCCTACTGTTCCAAGGCCATCTAGATGGCTTTTTAGTCACCAAAGAGAGAAGTTGAAAGCCATCATTTTGTGCCAGGCTGCTCACAGGAATCAGTTTCCCATCAGAATCCATTTCTTGGGTAAGTTGCTTGGCCAGTTTTTTAAACATTTCCCCCCACCAATGGACAAATGGGGCAGAAATGGTATTGGCAAGGAGCTCTCAAACAACCTGAAAGAAGGGACAAAAGAAATTATCACCACCACCAACAACAACCCGAATCAATGCATAGCAGGATGAAGTCACCTTCATTGAGTAGATCATAATCTACCACCCTCGTCTAGTACAAATTGATAGATTTATTTCCCATTGTAAGGCTGAATCAGAAGAGTTAGCCCAAAGTCACCCAACTAACTTCTGATACACCCACACAAGTTTTCAAACCATATTAGTAGAGTTCAGGAGGAGGTGATTGCTTCACAATTAAAAGAATGCACGGGAAAACTCCAATATAGCTGTGAACAAGTCAATTCTAAAGGAGGGAGGACAGGGGTGGGACTCAATTTTTTTAACAACCAGTTCTGTGGGTGTGGCTTAGTTGGTGGGCATGGCTTGGTGGTCATGTGACTATCTGGGCATGGCCAAGTCAACATCATTCACATTGAGGCATGCATCTCCTCGCCTGGCCTCTTATGACAGTGGGGATGCTGCAAGAGTCGTAAGTGTGAAAAATGGCCATAAGTCACTTTTTTCAGTGCCATTGTAACTTTGAATGGTCACTCCACACAAGCAAAGTCAGCAAAGGAAGGAAAAAAAACTCCAGAGAAGTTCCAGAGACAGGAAGTCTAGTCCTGCCAAGAATGTAATAAGGGTTAAAGGAGAGGCAGTTTCTGTAAGCAACACCAGAATGTTTCCTTCCTGCCTTCCTTACAGGGTTAGGCCAGTAATTTCTTCTAACAACCAGTTCTCCAAACTGCTTAGAATGTTAACAACCGGTTCTAGTGAATAGGTGCGAACCTGTAGAATCCCACCCCTGAGGGAGGGAAACCACACCTCTCTTCTTGGCTGTGGACAGATAGTGAAAACTCTAGTTTTGTCAGGACAGTCATCTCCCACATACCTGCAAGCACACTCATCTTCAAAAAACTATTCCGACATGATCCTTCTGGCCATGGCTTGCCCTAACCATCCCATTTCCTGTAATCTATTTTTTCTAGTTTCAGACTTTTCTAGCTGAAATCAACAAGAATCTACTGCTAATGGCATTAATCATTGTTAATCCATAAATTCCATTTATTAAAATAAAATAAACAAATACGTCTTATGCATTGTTGTACAATCCATGATTTAAAGGTATCACAAAATTGCGATACTTTTATCTTTAAATTAAGTGAACTTAAAAATTTTAAACTTCTCTTTTCCATGATGCCTGACTGAAGGTATCCCAAAAATGCTTTTTTCAGAAGGCAACTGGACTTTGTCTTTTCTTTGAAGATGTTTTGCTTCTCATCCAAGAAGCTTCTTCAGCTGAAGGGGGAAAAAAAACCCAGCTGTCTTTTGAAGAAGAAAAAAAGTACTTTTGAGACAACCATGTCCGAGATCTAAAGGATCTAGAATTTAGAGAATCTCCATAAGCATATGATTGAAGCTATTTCAGGGCATTCTGGGAATTTTTAAATGACAAGCATTTTACAGCAGATGACTCTTCTGTCACTTCCCAGAAGTCTGCTGCCAGTAGTAAAATTTGCTGATTTGCACTAACTAATCTGGGGGCTCATCAGATAGGAGCTTGTTTCAAATATAAAGCTGTTCTGAATGTCACGTTTGAGAATGAAGAATTTACACCATCGAATTAAACTAATAAACCATTATTCACAATGGCTCAGAATTATTGTTGCAACACAGTTGAAAGGTTGTTGTAGTTATGTCTCTATAGGAAATTCTCAGTTTTGAAAGTTGTCACCAAATACACTCCCTTGGATTATTTGGTGCAAGATACAGTATTATAGCAAAATGTATACAATGAAAATAAGATATGTTGGCTATGCATATATTCTGGAATCTAGGTTTTAAAATCTCCATATAGTGCTCTATCTATCTACTGTCTATCTGTCTGTCTAGCTACCTACCTATCATCTATCAAATTTGTATCCCACCATGGATGTGATTTTGCCAAGCTCTTGAAATGTGGAGAAAATGAACTTGAAGTACTCTTAGATCATTGTTTGAGATTGTTCCTGTAATATTCAGTCTTACTAGACTTTAGAAAAAATATTTTCCTGTTGGCTGGGAAAGAACAAGGCTATCTGTCAAAGATAAATATGTGTTAGCCTTAGATTCAATTTTGTATGCAATAGTTATTAAATATTTTATTCAGGTTGTTTTATTTAATACCAAATTCAGATATATGTATGACTTGCCTTTGGGCCATAAATGAAATTGATTTGTTCAGTTTCCTTGCTAGGTTTCTAGTAATCTGATATTGGTTGCTATTGGACTGGTATTGGGCCGAAGAGTTTCCAGGCTTTTGAAAGTTCCCCCAAGCTAAGTTCATCCCATTAATCCTCTCAAAATGGTTATATTCCCTATCTTTGAGAGATAGACAGAATATTTGAGGAAGTTATTTAAAAATATTTCTTAGTCAAGTGCATTTCTTATCATTGTCTTAAAAGTAAGATGAAAAGCAAAGGAGCATCATTAATAATTAATAATTATTCAAATGTAATTAATCAAATGTCAGCTCCAGTTAATAGCAATAATTACAACTCATATGGGTTGGATCTGGAATTAACCATATGTAGAAGGAGATTCTTGAAATTAGTTCGACTGAAGATGGTCATGATATCAACAGATGAATCTAAATATGACTAAATCTGGATCCCACATGCTTGATTAAATAATTCCCTAACACACCTAAACAGCACACACCCCAAAATCAAGTTCACCATGGAAATGGAAACAAACAAACAACTACCATTCCTAGATGTACTAATCTACAAAAAAACAGATGGCACACTAGGACACACCATATACCAGAAGAAAACACACACCAACTGCTACCTCAATGCCCAATCCCACCACCACCCAGCACAGATAAACTCTGTGGCCAAAACACTAATTGCCAGAACCAAACGCCTGGCAGACAAGACACACATAAAGACTGAACTATGCACCCTGACTAAAGTACTGACAGCCAACAGCTTCCACAAAAGCAAAATCACTGGCCTGACCCACAAAAACACACTGAGACATAATGGAGACCTAGAAGATGAATAGACCTATGGAACAGCTACAGACAAGAGGTACTACAGACAAAATCGGTAAGATATTACACAGACATCACATCAAGACTGCCTTCAAAACAGACAGAAAAATAGCAGCCATCCTAAGAAACCCCAAAGATAAAATTGACCTGGAAAACCAAGGCATA